AAAGGCCAGAGGGCGCTCTCGCGCTGAAACTCCAAATACGCCTCGCAGAAGAAACCCAGAAAACCCAGAAACCCATCACTGCAGTTGAATAAACAAAAGATTCAACTGCTTTCATTGATTCAACGTGACTAATAAACACACGACTACGGCAATATACGATTTATCTGAGTTCTTCTTATTATAATTTTCATTAAAATAAAGTCTATTTATAATGCAATGCCTTTATTACTGCTTAAATACTATGAAATATGTTGCATGCCTTATTCTGTGTAAGAAGCCACATCATCTCACAGAAGGATTTATTTATACTCAACTGACGTTATGAAGTGAGTTTGGAGTAAAAATATGTTATTAAATGTGGTATTTTCACATGCTTTCAGATGGAGCAGCATTTACTTCACAGAGCCGTAGTTCACTGAGAAGCTATGCAAACAGCTGTCATTATCGCAAACGATTTCTTCGGTTTCAGAATCGCGCAATAAAAGCGATTTTTTTGCGTAACTTGTCAGTGCACTATGGCTATGTGTAGTAAATTCTGCTCCATCTGAAAGCACGTGATGATGATTTACTGCTGATTACAGAACCGGCTTTACTAACAAAATGCGCATGACAATCGCATTCGATTAATCGTGCAGCCCTATTTTGAGGTATGACTGTAATTTATGTTGTAGAACGAAACGGGAAAGACTCTTTACCACAGACATTTTTGTACTTATGAATCTAAAGCACTTTTCTTAAGTCCCATTAGAATTTCCTGAGGGAATTTTTCAGTGTTGGCTTGCAAATTGACATCATTATTGAACATCTCGATATGTTGCTGAAACATTTAATTGTGAGAGAAAAAAAAAAATGTTTATGTGATTATAAAAGGCACTTATAAAAGGGAGTTACATAAGGCAGGCAAAAAATGCTACTCGAGATCTGATTTAATTCATCATCAAACATAGATCTTGAAGCTGGGTTGGCAGTACATCAGCAGGTAAGTGGACAGATGTTGTACCTGTATGGAGTCTGTGCGGGCCTCTAGCTTTGCTCTGGACACAGGCTTTTGCTGGACGAGGAACGTTTCATCCGTTTTAGGCTCAACCTCCGCCACCTCCCTCTCTTCCATGTAGACATCCTGACTAGTGTCTGTCCAAGAGATAAACACTGGGTTTTATGAGATTAACTCGTTAAAATTAAATGGTGATGAATATGGATGTGAAAATTATCAGCTGTTTTCTAATTTATTCCTAGTCTTAGTCTTGTGTAAAATGTCTGCTATAGTATTTATCATGTTTACTTAAGCATAATTAGTCACATGGGATTCATAGCCTCATACTTCTAGAGGCATACAGCGCTTGTCAAACTGTCAGTGAGATTGGGAATAGCTTTCTTCAGGTATTATAGACCTAATTGGACTTGACAGGTTGGTTTTCAATTGACAAAGGGCTTTGAATTCAAGCAATGAGCCTTTAAATTTCTGCTAACACAAAGTTAGTGCTTTGATCACCAACATTTGTCCACTTTTATTTTCTGTGTACTGAGATTACTGCTGACTGCTGCAGCCAGTAACCCTCATTAGCTCTACAGGTGTTTAGACAAGACAGCTTGTTCCAAGTGCTGCACAAGGTTCTTAGCGAAGATGCTGGAAGAATTTCCAAGTGCTGTCATTGCCGGACTCTTCTAAGAAAAGCATTATATTTTCCCTTGAGTTTAGTACCAACCACTAATGGCCATCATTTTGATACAACACTCCTGCCAGGATATCTTTTAGCAAAAGGACCTGACCTGATGAGGTCAACACAATTGCAGAATGAATAATGGATAATGAGATGGTCCTTTTTAAACCAGCTGATTTTTATAGTTAATCTGTGGCTTCGGTCCACATGCATACAGAGAAAATTAAGGTCAAGTCAAGTCACCTTTATTTATATAGAGCTTTATACAATACAGATTGTGTCAAAGCAGCTTTACAGTCTTAAATAGGAAAATAGTGTGTCAATAATGTAGGAAGACAATAGTAAACTGTCAATTTTTCAGTTAAATTCAGTTCATTGTTGATTCAGTTATGTTATCGACCAGCTCAGTTCGGTTCTCTTCAAAAAAGTATCTGTGCAATCAAGTCAACAATATTGCCAGAAATTGTGTCCCCAACTAAGCAAGCAAAAGGCGACAGTGGCAAGGAACCAAAACTCCATTGGTGACAGAAATGGAGAAAAAAAAAAAACTTGGGAGAAACCAAGCTCAGTCGGGGGTGGGGTGGGGGGTTGGTTAGTTCTCCTCTGTCCAGATGAAACCAGCATGGTGTGGTCTGCCTTTTGTAGTGACAGTTCTAAGAACAACAGTAGAACTAAACCGTTACCTGAGTGACAATAGGTGATGGTTTGGATCTGATTCATTTCACTGGCCATGATATTCTGCTAATGTATGCAGCCCTAGAAATATGTGACCTGCATACTGTCATTTTTGCTCATGGGCACTCTGTTATGGAAACATTTATCTTGTGGCACTCTTAAACTATATCTTAAATATTTGATTACAGCCTTGGAACGTATATAGTTTCTGTTTCAGGAGGCAGCAGTTCCCTGCGGCATCTGACCCCTCTTCAGAGGGTACCTTACAAGTGATGTGATATTTGGCCAAATATGGTGCTCTGCATTTAACCCATCCAAGTGCACATACAAAGCAGTTTTTCGATAACGCAAGACGACAGTGACAGTCATTTTTCCAGCTAAAGTCAGTTCATTGATGATTCAGTGTTGTCATCATCCAGTTCAGCTCTCTTCCAATAGTGTCTGTGCAATCAGTCAAGTGTCCCCAACTAAGCAAGCAAAAGGCGACAGTGGCAAGGAACCAAAACTCCATTGGTGACAGAAATGGAGAAAAAAAAAAAACTTGGGAGAAACCAAGCTCAGTCGGGGGTGGGGTGGGGGGTTGGTTAGTTCTCCTCTGTCCAGAAGAAACCAGCATGGTGTGGTCTGCCTTTTGTAGTGACAGTTCTAAGAACAGTAGAACTAAACCATTACCTGAGTGACAATAGTTCATGGTTTGGACCTGATTTAGTTTGCACCAAGGAGGTCTATAAAACCTGGAGAAAACATCCCAATCATCTCACTGGCTGTGGTACTCTGCTAATGTATGAAGCCCTAGAAGTATGTGACCTGCATACTGTCATTTTTGCTCATGGGCACTCTGTTATGGAAACATTTATCTTGTGGCACTCTTAAACTATATCTTAAATATTTGATTACAGCCTTGGAACGTATATAGTTTCTGTTTCAGGAGGCAGCAGTTCCCTGCGGCATCTGACCCCTCTTCAGAGGGTACCTTACAAGTGATGTGATATTTGGCCAAATATGGTGCTCTGCATTTAACCCATCCAAGTGCACATACAAAGCAGTTGGAGGTTCAGTGCCTTGCTCAAGGGTCTCACCTCAGTCATGGTATTGAAGATGGAAGAGAGTGCTGGTCATTCACTCCCCCCACCTACAATCCCTGCTAGTATCGAGACTTGAACCCATGACCTTTGGGTTACAAGCCCAACTCTCTAACCATTAAGTCATGACTGCCCCTGTGCTCAGAGTACAAGAGGCTTTTAGGGCACATTGGCCCGACTAAGGACTGTTGGGCACCGCTTTTCCAATCAGTTCCTTGGCTCTGAAGTTTGGCTGTTTTCTGCTAGTCACTCACCCCGCATATCTCAAGCTCTGCCTCATGTCAGTCAGGTAGACAAGAGCGAGCATTTTGATACCTTTGATCATTCGACAGCATGACGACTAGGAAGACAGTCCTAACAACCTCTTGTGCCCCAGTACCCTCCGAGGAGGGGGCAGGCACTACACTCCAGCAACGGTGCTGTGCAGAGAACTCACTGGGAACTGCTGCCTCCCCAAAACACAGAATGTAGCGGGTTTAACAAGATAGCCCCTTGAGGGCATTGAGAACGAAAGAGCACACAATGTTTTGGTATGACACACTCTCCCCCGAGGGGGCTTGCCCTCAGAACCCTGAACGCCTCGGCATCAGGGCTGATCTTATCTGGCAGATTGGGAGGTCCAGCCTTCAACTGGACTGCTGAGCCAGGTTTAACCACAGGTGCAGCTTCATGGCAGTCATTCCAGCCACTGAATGGCCAATCGTGCAGGCCATTTGCATTGAGGTCAACGGCCTGACAGAGTTCAGACAGAACGATGGAGTACTGTGATGCCCCAGCCAGTCATAATAGATTTAACTTTACATGTTCTGGAGGGTAATGATGGTCCTCTCCAGGATGAGCCAGTTCCCATGCTCTGTCAGCCCCATGATAGATGAACAATTAGTCATCATGGGTTGATGTAATCAAGTCTAATAAGGCTGCTCCCAGGACCTCAATAACTTGTTGTGGAGATCCTGGAAGAAAGAAAACCGCCTACGAGGAGGATGCGTGCTTTGACCTGATAGAAAACATTTGTCTAAATGAATGTGGGACACTTTCAGTTCTTCCTCAGGCCGATTCTTACTGAGTTTGCCTACAGCACGAGTTAACACATCAGTTAACTCCTCATAGGCAATGGAGTGAGGGACTGTGTGTGTCTTTTATCTCTATGTGTGGAAACATCGCCATGTTCAACATTTAACTCCACAGAACAAGATGCAGCCAGTATCATGTCCTCATGCCAACCGAAAGAAATCGCAGAGTGAGCTTTCGGGTCTGTCAATATGTAAAATACTTATGCATAATCATGGTATTGTTTTGGTATTACCATATCTCACAATGAAAGCCCAAAAGGTTGATATGATTACTACATTTCATAAGGCATGCTTTCTTATCAGGTTAATACGTTAGTTTGCTAACTACAAGCATACTAAAACAGAAAGACAAGTTTCACAAAGACAAGTTTGCTCGTGCTTACCTGTGGGAGGAGGTGTGATATGTGTGCAGGAGGCACTGACGCTGTGACTGTATGTTTTGGGTTCAGGACTCAGAGGCACAGAGAGGAAGTGATTGAGGTTCTGAGGATGTGTCTGACTCTGAGCCAGACACGGCAAACTGCGGCGAGACGATTTTAGCGTTTTCGCCTTCAAAATCTCACTGATACTGGTGTGCATACCTGCTGGGAGAGAAACAGAGAAACACATAAATGAGACATCAGATTAAAAATACCAACATTTCCACCTTGAAAATACAAAAATATGACATTAGATTATCTTTAAAAAGGCATTTTCAGTACTGTTGTCCATGTATCAAGAGTCAGTGTCATCTGTATTCGAGTCAAATACTCTGTAATGCAATATAGTACCAGTAAAACTCACTTATGCTATCAAATGCAAAGCTATAATGATCACATCAAGGATAACCAGTGTAGTACATTTACTTAATTAAATAACTCATGGAAGCACAGTCAGTCTTTATTGACTCACAAGGTCATCTAAGGATAAAGGATTTACTAACTACGTTTCAAAACCACGTGGGCCAGATGCTGTTTGATGGTTTTGCAGTAGTCACAGAAAGCAGATTCAGAAGAAGCTGTTTTCGTACAGATAATGATTTTCATAATGATTTGCCATAAACTAGCTGATACGGAAAAACTGATAACGCTTTATAATAAGGATTGTAACAAAATGTAAAAGTTTATAATTATTAATGTTCGTTAATAAAAATACAATTATTTATTCATTAATTGTCATTGCACAGAGATAATGATTTTCATAATGATTTGCCATAAACTAGCTGATACGGAAAAACTGATAACGCTTTATAATAAGGATTAATTTGTAACAAAATGTAAAAGTTTATAATTATTAATGTTCGTTAATAAAAATACAATTATTGATTAATTAATTGTCATTGCACAATGAATGAATGAATGAATGAATGATATAAAAAAAAAATCTGTAATAAAAGTTCTGTCATGGCAACTCTCTTAGGGATTGGCATGGTAATGTATGTGTAAACACAATGTTAATGTGTTTGGTCTTGGCGGAATAGATCTGCACCGCTGCTGCTGCTCCATATAGCATACATGATCAACCCGTAGCAGATCTATACAGGTGGAGCTGGGGAAGGTGGAGGGTTTCTGAAGCGCACTGTGACTGCTATGATGTTGTGACATTGTGCTTGTTCAGTTGTTGACATATTGAACAACCAGCCTAACTCTGTCAACATATCAAACCTCTATTCAGTACTCAATTATGTAATAATTCAAAGTCACATAAACTAAATGTTTAAAATGCAATTGCTTTCACATACTACTTGGGTGGGACGGGCAGGTTAAGATGATAAAATATTGAAGGTATTTAACTTAAAGTTAATTTTACATCAGAGAAATAATATCAAGGTTTGATTGCTAGGTTAATGTTTTTCAGCTCCCATTTTACTAACAGTGGACAGTAATGCTGATGAAGGCCACATAATCCTCTTGGGAGCAATTTTCAGTCTATGAATGTAATATGAGAGGGCTATTCTCAGTGTATACACAGCATGACCTATATGGCCCCTAACAAACCTAGTCTCATGCATAATAGATTCAAAAGTAGAAATGCATTTACATTCAGATAAAATATAGACATCTTTGTTAATGCTAAGTTAATATACTCTCTGCTGCTTCCCATTCCAAAACATGAATTAATTGAAATAGCAATGTGCCGAAACTCACCATAAAAACAAAATACTTGAATACAAAAATACCAGAAGCTGCTGTCAAATCTGGATAAATGATTCCACATAACCATTTAATTAAAAACCATTCCACAATGTGATGACATTATTAACGTCCGATTCAAGGTTACACTGACAAACATCCAGTGAAAAGCTCATTTGTAAGCCAATGCTGAAGAGATCGCAGGCTGGGAAAATGTCTGGTCTTCCCCACACGACTGCACAGAGATAGAGCTGATGTGGAATTCCTCTCATAGTGACCTTGTCCATGACGGCTGCATCAATCTAACCCACTCATAAACCACGGCTGGCCTTTTAAATAGAGCTAACATGAAACAAGAAGCAGTGATTCAGAGTGTAAAACCCAAAGCACACACAGAGAGATACACAGAAAGTTCAAACACATATGCAACGTATGCAGGACTGAATGAATTAAGATTCTCTCACATCTTAAGTACTCAAAATTCAGGAAAAGGCTCTTGAATCCCAAATGCTCAGCCCTAAAATACCTTCTTCTTGTAGCATCTTGAGATCGAGACTCAAGAGAGAAATACTTTGGGAGAAAATCTGCTTGTAACCCATTTTGCTGCATAAAAAAGTAGATATTTACTTTCATTTGAAGATGACGTGAATGCTTCTTGCATGTGAAAAACTCTCCACCACCAATATGTGTGTTATCAGTGGTTATTTTCTATGTTTTGTTATGTGGTTCCTAGAGTGTTCTGTTTCTGTACAAGATGCTTAACCAACATTGCACGATGCTTTATTAGAAAAATTAACTAGCTAGTCATGGCTGTTTCTCAAAACTGATGTAACATGGTTGCACTGCCATCGTTTCAACAACATTAATACAGAACTGTCATTAATGACATCATGACATACCTACCCATTTCTCATCTCTGGATGTGAAGCAGCAACTGACACTTTATGCTCTACTTTAACCTCTTGGATATTTGTCCTCTCTCCTCCAGGCCAGCACGGGCTACCCCTTCTAACCCCTGGTTATCCGATGTTCTTCGTGAGCATCGGACCAAACTCAGGGCAGCAGAGAGAAAATGGCGCATATCAAAAGATTTGTCAGACCTGAGTATGTATCAGTCTTTGCTTTAATCTTTCTTTGCTGAAGTCCATACTGCCAAATCTTCATACTTCCACAACAAGATCAGCAGCGCTCCAGACACACGTAATCTTTTCAAAACATTCGATTATCTCCTCTGTCCCCCTCCACCACCTCCCACCACTTCTATAACAGCTGACGATTTTGCCACATTCTTCACAGACAAAACTAGAACAATCAGTAGTC